TCTTCTGTGGCAGCCTGTCGTCGCTTCTTTTCAGATAAGGTTGACACTCTAGCTCTGCCAAAGTGGACTGTCGTGTCGTCGACGGTCACAAGCGTTTATAAATGACTTAACTTTAATTTGATGATCGCTACGACATGACTCACGCTTGCTGTATCAATTCACCCACCCGACAAACGCTGTCACTGTTGCAATACGTCCCTTACAAATCCCTCGAGATTTCTTTGATGAACTGAGGGTGAGCTTGTATTGGTAGTGACGTCATAATATTGACATCGCGGATTCCGATGGTCGTCTGCTGTTACTGCGGAGGCTTCGCTCCTCGCATAACTTTGCTCTTTTATGATCTTGCTTTCATCCACTCTCTGAAGTGCGCCGATTAATTGTCATTCCTACTCGCCGACCGCGAGTTTATTCGCGGATCAGTCAAGGTTTACGATCAGAAAAGTATAGGATGCAGAATTTGATGGAATGAAACGCGACGGGGAAGCACTTTTGGTTAATCGAAAGAGTGGGATTGAAAAAATACCGTTTTGTACCTTTGATCTTCTCCTGATGAGCTCATCGCGATTTCATTTTTATTTCTTATGAAAAACTTTTTAAAAAATCTATAATAAAACTTGATGTCATCAACCGTCCCCCTCACATACACGCTAACTGAGATATTAGGTGGACAAGAGTTTTTTTTTTTTTTTTTTTTTTTTTTTTTTTTCCCGACAAAGCAAGAGTCAGTTTTGCATGTTAGAATATATGAGTTATCCCCAACAATGAACTGTTTTCTCTTTGAACTCCGAAACAGAGCAGGCCTTGTGGTTTGGTCAACTAGGTGGTAGTATTAATTAATATTTGAATATTTTTTTTATATATGATGACATGCAGTTTTCGAAAATTTAGCTAAAGATATCTATTGCTTTATAATTTTATTCTACTCCAAAAATTTTGGCCTTAGAATATCTATTACATTATAACTATTATATTATTATAACTATGCTACATTTTTATTAAACTTGTGGGCAGTAAGTTTTAATAAAAATGATTAACCCTCTTCTTCTTCTTCGTCTTATTATTATTATCATCCACTGAAAAAAACATCAAGCATTTTAGGCGGGAGAGGGGGCGGGTGAAGTATCTCAAGATTTTCTCTTTCACAAAGCGGCGGCTTCATGCCACATAGCTCTGATCCGTTTTTGCGTGGGACGTCAACATAACACGTCACCTCCCAATCTTCAAAGACGTCCTTCCGACAGAGAGGGGCGATTTCGAAGAAGGCACCTCCATTAAACGCGGGTGCCTGCACGACCTCTTATTTCGCTCGCAAGACGATATCTCTACCCTGCCTCGAACGCGCGAAGATTTTCCGAGTCATTAGCCGTTATGACTTTTTTCCTGAGCGAAAGTGAAACTTGTCTTAGATTGCGCAGTCAGAAAATGGGAATTTGCAATTTCATTTTCAAAAATCCCTTTCTATATCGCTCATTTAATTTGCACGGCATTACGTGATGGCTTGCCTTTTATTCAATTATTTACTTTTATTTATTTACTCATTTATTCATTCATCCATTTATATATTTATTAGCTATAAAGCAAACGCAATAAAATTATTCCTATATTTGAGATATCTTTATCCTTAAGTATTAATTTATCAGTTACATTATTTACAGGTACACATGGTGAAAAATAAGGTGCGGGGAGTTTTTATCAATGAGGAGTCAAAACGTGTCGAAAAGAGATAGAAGGAAAACTTGGATACACGAGTAAATTCTCATGCTCATTATCATTTTTCCTTTTTTACTATATATGTAATTTCAATAGCTGTGGAATTTGAGGCGATAAATTGATTCTTTATATATTAAAGATAAAGCAAGTTGCCTTCTGAAATATTATACAAAAATGTACTACGGGTTTTTATTACAAAATGTAAGGAAACCGTGACAGACAACTCTCTCTCTCTCTCTCTCTCTCTCTCTCTCACACACACACACACAGAGAGAGACAGGCACACACACACAGACACACACGCGCTCTTCTTTTTTATTTCTCCTTTCTATCTTTATTTTCTTTATTTTGATGGAGTCTTTTTTAAATTTAGTTATTCTCTCTCTCTCTTTCTCTCTCTCTCAACCACACACTCTCTCACACGCACGCACACTGTTTCTGTCTCTCTCTCTCTCTATATCTCTCTCTCTCAGACCGGGTCTCTCTCTCTCTCTCTCTCTCTCTCTCTCTCTCTCCGTCAGACGCCAGCCGGGTCTCCCTCCACCCCACCTCAACCTCCCAGCCGCCACAAGTAGCACCTCTCCTGTCATTACTGTCATAATCTCCCTAAGACGACACGGACGCTTCCTTCGTCGTCTTGTTATCTAGATTTAGAGACAGCACGGAGTATTTGCACTGGGAGATAGCGGGACTAAGACTATTTAGTTATCCACCACGATTGTGTGTGCATATGTCAAAACGGTTGCTGTTTTGAGAACGTGACAGCTTCTTCCTGTTGGTTTTTAGGGGGCAATGGCTTGATGGCTGGGGTAAAGATGGGAGCTTTTTAAGTGTTATGGTGGTTACTGTTAAGAGGTACTGAGATATTATGTTCTATCTGCCCCCCCCCCCCCACTCCGCTCATTGATCTTCTGGATTTTTTATTTACTTCATTAATGATTTATTTTATGTATTTACTGAGCTGTACCTTTCAAAATGTTATTCGCTGCAATTTGGATAAAATACATCAACGTATTTTTACAACGTATTATTATGTATATTTTGCTGTGGGTTAGATGGTCTACCGTCGATTGTAATTTTTAAGTGATTTGAACACATTTCTGTGCAGCGTTTTTGAACGAATGGGTTACTTGATGTCAACGTTGGGGATTTTAAAAGAAAAAATTGTGATAAGCTACCAAAAGTCGTGTCAAGAAGTTTTGATCAAAAAACTAAAAATTATGACGAAAAAAAAGGGATGTCTGTAGCCTACCTTGAATAACAAGAGGTTGTATATGGTAAGATGTTCATTTTCAGATTATTCTAGCCTGAATCAATAAATCCTTAAATGCATCGTAACATATTTTAGAATAAACCGCTTAAAATATCCACATAAAAAAATCATATTGGTTTAAATTTACAGCATGAAATCATTTGAAATTTTAATCAAGAAGTCGTACACCCATCATCACAAGACCCACTTGAGGCAGCCATCAATGGCGCGCAATCATGTCGTCTGCGCTAATCAGGGACCTCTGCCGAAATCAGACAACAATGAAGAGGCTGATAAAGAAAATGTAGAAGTTGAAGAGGACATCGTGTCCCGACAAACAGATAGAACGAGGAGTTTGTTGATCCATCTATAATCTGCCCGGCGACGTAGAAAAGCCTCTGATATTTTCCTTTCCCTTGTCCCACGAACCGCTCGACATCGATAACCGGCTCTTCTGCAATCTACTATGTAGGAATCACGGTGAAGTGCGAAACGTCTACCATCTCCCCCTTCAATGATACATCAAGCACTTGCACAAGGCGGTTAGGCCTCTTCCTTCATAAATAGATTGGAAACCCACGAGAAAGGTATCAAAATAAGGTCCCCGCTCATTTGTTTTACCGTGAAATATCAATTCCGCTTTCGTAGATCGCAGAATGAATGGAGGAGAGATTTTGTTTTTAATTTTTTTAATAATATTTTTGTCTGATACCTACTGGTAATAACTATATACCCGTTGAAATCAATGGCGTTTTTCTTCTTATCTTAAAATGTAATACTGGGCGCCAATCAGTCTTAAATTTCAACCATCTCGCGCACGAACTCTCTATCATATATATCTACGTCGCTCTACGTGTGTGGGAATTGAAAGAAAGACGAAACAAACAGTAGCCCGGTGTCGCCTCGACAGTAAACCCGCCACAAAGATTAACATTAGCCCAACACGGCAAAACATAAACAGTTTTAGTGTCACTTAACGTCGACGTTGAACAATAACTAGCACCTTTTAACAGCGCGAGGTGACATCATCTATAAAACAATGGCCAACGTCTTGGCTTGGAACATGGTAGTAAAAGAATTTACGAGGATCCCGCACTCCATTGTCGAGATGTCGTAAAGCGGTAAATCGATCACGACATCAAAGGATCCGCCAGCGTTCCGCCTCCCCCGAGTCGGCGTTTATGGTTTTATGCTCCCCCTGTCAATAGGCGACTTAATTAAGATAGTGGTACTACCTGAAGCAGCGGCGTTCATTTCGATTGTGATGTTGTTTTCATATCTTTTACCCGTAATGGGTACTCGTTACAAAGAGGGGTTAAAGGGTCTGTAAATAAAGACCCGCCCCGCGTCTCTCTGCAGCTTAGTTAAGACTAGTTTGAGGAAATGGGAGACAAAATGTGTCATTTTCCAAATAGGTTACTCATTTTCCCCTTAATTTTTTCACAAAGGTGCGCGCGCGCGTGTGTATTTGTGTGCGTGCGTATGCCTATTTCACGTGTTATCAAAAGCCATTTTATAGATCAAGTAAAATAATAAATATACACCAGGTCCTTAGGTTATAAGTTTAACAGCAGAGAAAACGGTGTAACTTGAAAAGCTTTTCGCGGTTGGCTATAAACGCCATGGGCAAAATATGGAATGCAGTATTAACGCTTATTAGTCACAAATTAATTAATATTACCGTTAATCGGTCCAATTATCATTGTTGTAGATTCGAGAGATCGCCGACCTTACCGCTGTGGTGCCGGTCTCTTTGTAGTAGTATAGTGGCTCTAAAGTGAAGAATAAACAAAACATTTGGACAGACTGCCAAAATCTGTTCAATGCAGATCTATCAATAAAAGTAGCGCCTTGCAAAATTAGTATCCAATTTGTTGAAGACAGGACAAATAGTGACGGAATTTTGGAATTTTGACACAAAACACATATCATTCACATTTTGTCTGCGGTTCTTAATATGAACCATCACTTACTAATTGTACTTTGTTATTTAGGTTCCGAACAAAAAAGAATCAAAACACGTACGCTTTACAAATAAATTTCTATCCTTGTTTTAAGCACAATGAACAGATCCATGTACATGTACATATTTATAACAAAGTTTTAAAAACCCACATTTTATATTGACAATTACTACATGAACACATGAAATCGTTCGTCGGGGTCATAAATACCCACAGTTCTAGGGACTGCAAAAAGGTATTATGTATCATCAACATTTTGTATAAAAATTTTCAGACACACCCTGTACCTCTGGTGCTGATTATTGGCGTCTTTCCGAGTTTCGTGAAGTTGTCTTTTCTCATAATATACAATTTATATTCTACAGCTATTTACACTTAAACAAATTGACCTTTTTTTCCATTTCTATTAAACTTGTAATGCAGAATCATTGCCATCCTCATGTGCAAGTTGAAGTATTGAATTATCTTATTCACTGTCACTTTTCCCTATAGCTTGTCCTTGATACAGCTTGTCTTTATCTCACTATTAAATTGTTCCTATAGCTGATCCAGCTGAAAATAAGATAAAATAAAATAAAATAAATGAGAACAAATTTTAATGATAAAAGAATGATGAGATTGAATAGCATAATCCTTAACAGGGGGATAGATTATGTTTGAGCAAAACATCATTTTCAATCAGGTTATTTTTAAATTTATCCATTATTAAGGGGATTTGAAGATTAAATTATCAAAAAACAAAAAAAGGAACATTTACCTGAAATCTTATGTGAGTAAATCACTTAAAATTAGAACCAACTTTATTAAAATCATTGATAAACGTTTATCACTTCTTCCAAAAACAAGCTACAAAAGGAACCATTCAACCATGTAATGAAATAAAAATGTGTTTTACCAAGTCATCTGCGTCTTCTTCCTGCATCTCCTCTTCTTCCTTTTTCTCTTTCTTCACATCGTCTGCCATGAACTCGGCCACAGCGTCCTTGGAGTAAGTGCTCTCCTCACACTCTTCATTGTCTATCAGCCTGAGACCAGCTGGAACATGTGGAGTTCTTTTATCAATTTGTGATTCCAAATATTTTCATTAAAGAACACAGGACTATGCATTTAGAACAGCAGACTTACAGATCCGCAAATCAAATATGGCGACCACTAAAAAGCTTGTCGCTTAGACCCCATTCCCATAGATATTGAGATCGATCTATCCCCCTGTGGAGTCTCACTAGATTGGTGTCAGCTTAACAGGCTTAAATGTCTGTCCCGCCTACTAAAAGCTGTAAGGGGGCAATTAACTATGGTGTGTGCTCGACTGACAGCAATTTAGCATAAACCCCCAGGGAGTTAGGTCAATCCAGATGGATCGATCTAAATTTCTGGGAATGCAGTCTTAGACACTGAATAGATTCCCTGCTGGGATAACACCACACACATTCAAGTAGGTCGGCCATATTTGATCTGCAGATCCGTTAGTCCACTGCTCTGAATGTGCCCTATGCTAAAAGACTGTGTGTGTGTGTGTGTGTGTGTGTGTGTGGGGGGGGGGGGCACGCTTTTCTTGAAAACCTTACAACAGTAGATGAGAACATTTTTATGATAAAATGCAGGGGATANTTTTTTTGCCCCCCCCCCCCCCCCCACCACTCCGCTCATTGATCTTCTGGATTTTTTATTTACTTCATTTATGATTTATTTTATGTATTTATTGAGCTGTACCTTTCAAATTGTTATTCGCTGCAATGTGGGTAAAATACAACAACGTATTTTTACAACGTATTATTATGTATATTTTGCTGTGGGTTAGATGGTCTACCGTCGATTGTAATTTTAAGTGATTGTAATTTTAAGTGATTAAATGAACACATTTCTGTGCAGCGTTTTTGAACGAATGGGTTACTTGATGTCAACGTTGGGGATTTTAAAAGAAAAAATTGTGATAAGCTACCAAAAGTCGTGTCAAGAAGTTTTGATCAAAAAACTAAAAATTATGACGAAAAAAAAGGGATGTCTGTAGCCTACCTTGAATAACAAGAGGTTGTATATGGTAAGATGTTCATTTTCAGATTATTCTAGCCTGAATCAATAAATCCTTAAATGCATCGTAACATATTTTAGAATAAACCGCTTAAAATATCCACATAAAAATCATATTGATTTAAATTTACAGCATGAAATCATTGGAAATTTTAATCAAGAAGTCGTACACCCATCATCACAAGACCCACTTGAGGCAGCTATCAATGGCGCGCAATCATGTCGTCTGCGCTAATCAGGGACCTCTGCCGAAATCAGACAACAATGAAGAGGCTGATAAAGAAAATGTAGAAGTTGAAGAGGACATCGTGTCCCGACAAACAGATAGAACGAGGAGTTTGTTGATCCATCTATAATCTGCCCGGCGACGTAGAAAAGCCTCTGATATTTTCCTTTCCCTTGGCCCACGAACCGCTCGACATCGATAACCGGCTCTTCTGCAATCTACTATGTAGGAATCACGGTGAAGTGCGAAACGTCTACCATCTCCCCCTTCAATGATACATCAAGCACTTGCACAAGGCGGTTAGGTCTCTTCCTTCATAAATAGATTGGAAACCCACGAGAAAGGTATCAAAATAAGGTCCCCGCTCATTTGTTTTACCGTGAAATATCAATTCCGCTTTCGTAGATCGCAGAATGAATGGAGGAGAGATTTTGTTTTTAATTTTTTAAATAATATTTTTGTCTGATACCTACTGGTAATAACTATATGCCCGTTGAAATGAATGGCGTTTTTCTTCTTATCTTAAAATGTAATACTGGGCGCCAATCAGTCTTTAATTTTAACCATCCCGCGCACGAACTCTGTATCATATATATATCTACGCTCTACGTGTGTGGGAATTGAAAGAAAGACGAAACAAACAGTAGCCGGGTGTCGCCTCGACAGTAAACCCGCCACAAAGATTAACATTAGCCCAACACGGCAAAACATAAACAGTTTTAGTGTCACTTAACGTCGACGTTGAACAATAACTAGCACCTTTTAACAGCGCGAGGTGACATCATCTATAAAACAATGGCCAACGTCTTGGCTTGGAACATGGTAGTAAAAGAATTTACGAGGATCCCGCACTCCATTGTCGAGATGTCGTAAAGCGGTAAATCGATCACGACATCAAAGGATCCGCCAGCGTTCCGCCTCCCCCGAGTCGGCGTTTATGGTTTTATGCTCCCCCTGTCAATAGGCGACTTAATTAAGATAGTGGTACTACCTGAAGCAGCGGCGTTCATTTCGATTGTGATGTTGTTTTCATATCTTTTACCCGTAATAGGTACTCGTTACAAAGAGGGGTTAGAGGGTCTGTAAATAAAGACCCGCCCCGCGTCTCTCTGCAGCTTAGTTAACTAGTTTGAGGAAATAGGAGACAAAATGTGTCATTTTCCAAAAAGGTTACTCATTTTCCCCTTAATTTTTTCACAAAAGCGCGCTGGCGTGTGCATGCGTGTATTTGTGTGCGTGCGTATGCCTATTTCACGTGTTATCAAAAGCCATTATATAGATCAAGTAAAATAATAAATATACACCAGTTCCTTGGGTTAAGTTTAACAGCAGAGAAAACGGTGTAACTTGAAAAGCTTTTCGCGGTTGGCTATAAACGCCATGGGCAAAATATGGAATGCAGTATTAACGCTTATTAGTCACAAATTAATTAATATTACCGTTAATCGGTCCAATTATCATTGTTGTAGATTCGAGAGATCGCCGACCTTACCGCTGTGGTGTCGGTCTCTTTGTAGCAGTATAGTGGCTCTAAAGTGAAGAATAAACAAAACATGTGGACAGGCGAATCGCCAGGACGACTGCCAAAATCTGTTCAATGCAGATAAATCAATAAAAGTAGCGCCTTGCAAAATTAGTTACCAATTTGTTGAAGACAAGACAAATAGTGACGGAATTTCGGAATTTTGACACAAAACACATATCATTCACATTTTGTCTGCGGTTCTTAATATGAACCATCACTTACTAATTGTACTTTGTTATTTAGGTTCCGAACAAAAAAGAATCAAAACACGTAAGCTTTACAAATATATTTCTATCCTTGTTTTAAGCACAATGAACAGATCCATGTACATGTACATATTTATAACAAAGTTTTAAAAACCCACATTTTATATTGACAATTACTACATGAACACATGAAATCGTTCGTTGGGGTCATAAATACCCACAGTTCCAGGGACTGCAAAAAGGTTTTGTATAAAAATTTTCAGACACACCCTGTACCTCTGGTGCTGATTATTGGCGTCTTTCGTGAAGTCTTTTCTCATAATATACAATTTATATTCTACAGCTATTTACACTTAAACAAATGGACCTTTTTTTCCATTTCTATGAAACTTGTAATGCAGAATCATTTCTATCCTCATGTGCAAGTTGAAGTATTGAATTATCTTATTCACTGTCACTTTTCCCTATAGCTTGTCCTTGATACAGCTTGTCTTTATCTCACTATTAAATTGTTCCTATAGCTGATCCAGCTGAAAATAAGATAAAATAAAATAAAATAAATGAGAACAAATTTTAATGATAAAAGAATGATGAGATTGAATAGCATAATCCTTAACAGGGGGATAGATTATGTTTGAGCAAAACATCATTTTCAATCAGGTTATTTTTAAATTTATCCATTATTAAGGGGATTTGAAGATTAAATTATCAAAAAACAAAAAAGGAATATTTACCTGAAATCTAATGTGAGTAAATGACTTAAAATTAGAACCAACTTTATTAAAATCATTGATAAACGTTTGTCACTTCTTCCAAAAACAAGCTACAAAAGGAAGCATACAACCATGTTATGAACTAAAAATGTGTTTTACCAAGTCATCTGCGTCTTCTTCCTGCATCTCCTCTTCTTCCTTTTTCTCTTTCTTCACATCGTCTGACATGAACTCGGCCACGGCGTCCTTGGAGTAAGTGCTCTCCTCACACTCTTCATTGTCTATCAGCCTGAGACCAGCTGGAACATGTGGAGTTCTTTTATCAATTTGTGATTCCAAATATATTTTCATTAAAGAACACAGGACTATGCATTTAGAACAGCAGACTTACAGATCCGCAAATCAAATATGGCGACCACTAAAAAGCTTGTCGCTTACACCCCATTCCCATAGATATTTAGATCGATCTATCCTCCTGTGGAGTCTAACTAGATTGGTGTCAGCTTAACAGGCTTAAATGTCTGTCCCGCCTACTAAAAGCTGTAAGGGGGTAATTAACTATGGTGTGTGCTCGACTGACAGCAATTTAGCGTGAACCCCCAGGGAGTTAGGTTGATCCAGATGGATCGATCTAAATTTCTGGGAATGCAGTCTTAGACACTGAATAGATTCCCCGCTGGGATAACACCACACACATTCAAGTGGGTCAGCCATATTTGATCTGCAGATCCTTTAGTCCACTGCTCTGAATGTGCCCTATGCTAAAAGACTGTGTGTGTGTGTGTGTGTGTGTGTGTGGGGGGGGGGGGGGGAGAGACTCTTTTCTTGAAAACCTTACAACAGTAGATGAGTACATTTTACTCATGATAAAATGCAGGGGATAAGGATGAAAAAAAAGTTATATACATACTGTTTTGGGAGAGTGGAAGAAGCAGTCACTTATTTCTTTTAAGTAAAAAAATAATTATTATTTTTACTGATTTTATCATCAAATTATGTTTTAATTATTATTGTTCTACATTAATATTACATATTAATTTATTCATTAATATATCATTTTTTTTTCTTTTTTTTTTGTATTGCTGCATTCATTCATTTGGGTACTCATTCATTTTCTTATTCAAGCAATTATTCTTTCTGTAAGTAGGTCACTGAACATGAACATATTTCAAGTACAGATGAGTGCTTATTTATATTATTATTTTAAACTTACAGTTCTTTGCCATCTCGAAGAGATCCATTTTATTGTAGTGCTCCATCTCCTTCTTAAACTGGGTGAAAAATTTGTTAAATACCCCAGGCTCCAGGTGCTAAAAAGTAAATAATAATAATAATAATAATAATAATAATAATAATAAAAATAAAAATAATGTGACAGATTTAATTTGATCTAAATTATGTTTGATTTGTCCTCTTTATGACAAACTAAAATTTTTGCTTTATAAAGACTTACATATATATTTGTGATTCTGTTAAAGGCAGATGTCTACATTGTATGAATTGTTTATTCTTATTTTGTTTCATTGTTGTAAATAAAATCTGTTGCTGATTTATATGCATTGTTTGGTCTTCTGTGACTTTGGAATTTAATTTTGCCGACCTACGGCACGTTAATATATAATAATAATCATAATAATCAGCCACTCGCAGTTGTGGAGAATGGAGACGTTCAAATTACCTGGGACAAGACTGTGTACACAGATGAGAAACTGAGTCACAATCAACTGGACATGACTCTAGTGCAGAAAGATACACAGAAACGGACATAAATTGATGTAGCAGCACCAGCAGACCAAAGAATCATCAAGACTGAGGAAGAAAAAGTGGACAGATTTCAGGACCTTGCTTTTAAAATTAAGAGAATTCACAGAGCATCAAAAGTGTTAGTGATACCGATTGCGAAAGGGGCACTGGGAACAATCCAAAATAATGCAAAGACCTGGTCTGAGAAGTTAGACATGCCTGACATTGTTGGAAGTGCATAATTGTCGGTCAGACTTGGAACAGCTGGGTCAGATAGCTCCTTCTCCACAGGGCACAAAGTTACAACCTTCATTCTGTAAAAGAGCTAAAATGCATCGACCTTCTTGACGCATGACATCGAGAATATCTCGTAGAGAGAACTCTACCAAAGGAAGACATGTCAGGAACAGTTTGAGTTTTTCACCAGACAGGACACAACACTCATTGACACTCATCTTCATCTCTGCAAAGTCACTAGACACTCCAATGATAAACCATGGGTTAATGACGGCTTCCGAAATACCATCAGAATGAAGTCCAAAGCTTGGCAATCCGGTGACCATGAACAATACAAAATGTACCGAAACAAAGAAAACAGAATGTCAAGAAACCCAAAAAGAAAGCACTACAAAAGCAAAGTGTTAAAATCTGGTGATCAAGAAAATGGTGGCAAGCTACAAAGCAAATGATTGGTTCAAATGCAAACTCGAACAATCTTCATGGATTAGCCAATGACAAGTTTAATGTCGATCTTCGCTATTTATCTGACCATATGGTTTATTTGAACCTGTTTAACATCTAAGAGCTGGACAGATCCACAATATAATAATAATGCTAGCAGGCAATCATTCTCAGAATGATACAAAAATATGCCTTTTTTCCTTGTCAGACATGCTGAAAACTTTTCAGAACTGCCGGACATTCGGACCGGCAGTGATGAAAAATTTGGCGGACCAAATGGACTTTTGCCGGACCAAAAATTTCCAATATGGAGACGTTTCATTTGCATAGTAATAAACAGAAGTAACTCTTGTAAATACATATTCAGTAATACTATCAATAATCTGGACATGTTGTTAATTTTAAAAACAAAAACTAATCGACACTTATAAAGCAATGCTTTATTGTTGTTCTCATTTCACAAGTTCTAGGGTTCATACAGGCCTAAGGCTTGTATCAGAATATATATATTTTTTTCAATTTTTAAACTCTTAGTGTTTTTACTGGTAGAGGGCAGAGGTAGGCAGAGACTTTATATATTTTGGTATCTCTATCTGCCAAGAACACTGTTAAGTACTGGTATGGAAAAAAAAAAATAATAATAATCAGAAAATTCTCAGAAATTGAGAGTTTGTAACTACATGTAACTTTCATATTTTCTGTAGCTTCTAATACTGGAATGCATACTTCAATATTCTCCGTTTTTTTTTTTTTTTTTTTTTTTTTGGCTTGTTTTGTTTTTTTTTTTTTCCAATCAGATTAGTACTTACCTTTAAGGCAGCTTCTCTTAGTGCCTTCATACACTCCATTGCCTTGGGGTAGGACTGGGCACCAAATGACCCCATAATGATGTCTATTATTACAGTCTCTAGCTGTTTACAGGCTGAAAATATAGTATAATATAAAAATGAAGTCTTATACAAACTCTTTTGAAGAATTTGCATCTCTCTTTAAAAAAAAACAAACTTATTGATGTAATGGATCATAGATGATATGAATATGATATTATTAATTAATTTATTTTCTATTGTTACAAAAATTCTCCAAAGTACAACCAGTATAAGGCACAAAATGTTGTAGAATTTCATTTACTGAACATTCATAATTCATTAACTTTTTGCCAATCAAAAAGAAAGTCATTCAGATATGCAGTTGAAATATAAGAGTGAGTAAATATCAGATCATTTACCATTATATTATATTATAGTATATATACACAGAAAAAAAGAACTGATAAAAATACTGATAAAAAGAACCTGCATAAAAGAAGACACAAACCCTCTTCAAACATGTCCTCATCTTTTCGACGCAACATGGCCCAATAATCCTCCACTGGTGTTACCGTGCCAACCTTTGTGACCTTGACCTTGTCCAGTTGTTTCATATCGCCCAATGCACCATCGTCAAGTTTCGGTTTCTTGGAAGCTGGTACATCACCTATGGGTCTAGACAAAGAAAGTGGAAGAAAGAAATTTGAATTTATGTCTGAACTGGGTTTTTTTTTGCAAAATTCTTAAGCAAAGAAGAATGCATTACTAAAACTTCAAGCTTGTCACCACATCATGGAAGATGTAGAAAAAGACAGGAAAAATTCCTGTTCTGCTTGATTTAGTTTTGATATATAGTCATCATTAAATATCACTTGAAGCCTGAAAGCCAGAAAACAGCAGGTAAAAACTACAGTTTTTATGAGGTATTCAAACTTCACATACAATCAAACATTGCGACAATTACGTACTTTGGTAATAATTTTACAATGAAAGATAGGAATTTGCTAAGTTTTGCTAAATGATATTTTTATGTTGTATTCTTTTTACTGTTAGTGTCATTTAATATTCAAATGTCAGCATTTAAATAATTTTAATCATTTTATGAAGGAAATTAAGATTTTATCATTACTATAATTATCATCATCAAAAGTAAAAACTATATTCAATAAGTAAAAGAAAACACAACTTACTTGTCCTGGAACATGGACTTTGCAGAAACTTCTTCCTTCTTTTTTACAACAACTTTGAGAGGAAAGACCTCCTTTAACTTCTCCACATGTGACTGGCAGTTGGTCAGCACTTCTTGAGGGGGTTTCAGGTAATCTGCAATGATGGGGGACAACTCCGGCAGTGGGTCGTCTGGGTTAAGAGCTTTGTGCTGTAGACACTGGTAAAGAAAAGAAAAAGAAAACAGTTTTATACTTTTTAGACTTAAATCGGACTGTGTTTTTCTAAATTGTGCCATCTTATTTATAATAATAATAAAACAATTAAAATAAAAAGTTTTCATGCTTCATATCACATCTGTGTACTTTGGTATCTTGAATATTTCAAAATGCCTTTGAAAACCAATAGATACCATTAAATAATTTTTAACTTATATTACACTAATCTGATATATACAGCCCCTGTAATATAGGTGTATACTAACCTGATATAACCTCTGTAAATGTGGATTGAAAGTAAGTTTGGGTTTAAGAGCTTCTTCCTCCTCCTCATCTCCCCTGTAGAGTAAGACATGGGATATAAAAAGGTCCAAATATAAAGATATGTGGTACGTGTAAGATGCTATTGACCTTAGGCTTAATTACAATATCAAGATACATTGCAAAGGTAAACTTCATTTATTGTTGACCATCTGATACATTGCAAAGGTAAACTTCATTTATTGTTGACCATCTGATGCATTGCAGGTGTATTTTGGAGGATAACAATCAGGACAAGATAGGTATCTGAACAGTTTGCTTACTAGGTATTTAATTGGTCAGGTTATTCATAGACACAAAAAGAACTGTGTCTACACCATTTGCATCAATGTCTATGTGTACATGTATAAAGACCAAAATCCGGTAAATTATGTGAATATTATGAAGTGCTACAGAGTACTAAAATAAACAGTTTTAAATCAGATCCTATTTTTGAAAAGAATAAATAAAAGCTCACCCACAGACCAGAAACAAAACCAAAATTTAATGCCCGGCAAATTCGAAAATCATCATTCAGCTAAGACTGGGTTCCCATGCCTAGATCGATCTAACAGGATCGCTCCATCTCCAAAGGGTTATTCACTAAATTGGTTTCAGTTTAAGCAGCTTAGATGTCTGGCATGCTTACTGAAGCTGCTAAATGATAATTAATTCCCCCTAGCAGCTTCAGTGGGCGCGACAGACATCTAAGCCACTTAAGTCGATTACAATTTAGCAAGAATCCCCATGGAGACAGATCGATCCACAGTTAGTATGACAGGGTCTGGGAATGGTCCCTAAGCTGTTAGTGGTTGTTCAATTTTTGTAAACTGTTTAATTTCATATAACAATATTTCCCACTTACTGTGATGTCTTAGATAAATCCATGGAATCAATCAAGTTGTCCATTGCCCTTAGTTGGTCATCTGGAGACCAAAACAAAACAAATAATTCATTCATAATTATCATTATAATAATAATACCTACATAGTCACATACTCTGTGCTTCTGTTGTGTTACTGTGTTCACCAAATAATAATATTTTTTTCTTTTTTATTCCATTTCTACACATAAAGGGGTCAACTTTTCAATATTAAGACCAGCTGATTTATTTAGTTTGAGTATAGTGTTGACCTATCTTGCTAAGAGAAACATAGAAGCCTTTAAAAAAAGTTAGCCCAGTTTAAACATTGTTACCTGAGGGAGAAAACTTTTTGTTGAGTTCACTGTCTGGTTCTAAGGGTAAGGACCCAAATGTAAACTGCCTCACATCCTCCATGAAAGGTATCTCATTGTAGAATAGGCACTAAAATGGAAATTAAAAAAAAAATTAATTATTGCATATTCATTTAATATGTGATGCTATTGTATTTTAAAGTGGAACTACTGTCCGTATAGATGGTGCATTATGACATGACACATAAAAGATGAAATATTGAATGTTTTGAGAAAAACATTATTTGAAAATGTCTTTAAAATGTGCCTCGAAAAACCTTTTTCTTGGAACACTTTTAAAATGTTTTAAAAAAGGTTTTCTAAAACATTATTCAAAAATATTTTTAAAGCACTTTTAAAATTTTCCCTGCATTTATGGTCTTTGTACTTGTTTTTTGGAAACATAACTCAAAAGCATTTTTAAAACGTTTTAAAAATGTTTTTCTTAAATGCTTTTCTCACGTTTTTAAAATGTTATTCTAAAACATTATTCAAAAACAAATTTAAAACAATGTCATTTTAAAAATGTTTTTCCTTAACGTTATTCAAAAACATTTTAAAGATGTTTTAAAAATGTTTTTTACCAATGTTTTTCTCAAAATATTTTAGAAACATTTTATGAATGTTTTAAAAAATGTTTTTCTTGAAACAAAAAAAAAT